TAGCAGAAGGAAGCCTCGGGATATCGTTGGCTTTGCGGAAGAAGGTCCAATACGATACGATCAATATTTTATGATATAAAATGTAATTAATCAATTGATCGATTTAATTCTCTTTAATACCTTATCATGTAACTCCATTTTTTTGTTTACTCTATTCCATTGAATATATTGATCTATATACAATGTATTTATTGTCTATTCGCTTAGTATATAACCATATCTATTGATTTTTTTATATGTTGCCATTATATATGGCCACTATATGTTGTTCGTTTTTGTAGCTTTGCAAGTTGTTTAATTTGTCGTCAACCTTTTCCTACCATTTTACTAACTTTATTCTTATGCACATTTTTCTTTAGTGACGAAGAGCCTTTGAAGATGGTCAGATATCCCATATACACGTGTTGAATTTCCCTTCAAATTTCAGGATTCTTGTGATTATCCAACATCTTTGAAGTATTAGAAACAACATTAGAAATAAATAAATATTTCAATATGTTCATGCAAAGAATTACACGACGCTGTTAAACGAACCAAGCTTGAACTCGGTCCCCTACTTGACCTGAACTCAAGAGTAAACCTGCACAAGAGGGCAAACTCTCTAACGCTCAAGTCAGTTCTGATCGGACTCAATATTAAGTTCGAGTGAGATTCGATAACTGAGCGTGAAATGAGTTCCTCTATTTATAGGTGGCGGGCCCGACAGTACTCACGACCGGCAGTTACCTTTGTCCTTTTTTATGTCGAACCTGTCGGGTTTGAGCAGATCGAACTCGTCCAGGTCGAACCGGGGCTTTTTATACTTAGCCTTGTCAATGGACGAACCCGACCTCCTCGACAGGTTCGAGGTGAACCTGGGATATTTTAATCCTTGAACACCAATAAGCGTCCTCCACGTGTCAAAGAGACCTCCTCGGGAGCCAAAAGGCTTGGGTTTGAGTACAGTATGTGTGTTTATTTTTCGTTTTGGTAATATTATTATTATTCTAAAGGATTAATTATTTTTTTATTTTTTGAGTTCTTATTAATCATTTAATAATAATAATATTACAAAAACGAAATAAAAAACACCAATTTCACCATTTAAACCCCAACCCTTTGATTTTCTAGATGGTCCTTTATCCACTACACAACCATACTCATTTTATTTTAAAATGTTGTGTTATATATAAATAATAATTGTTTTGTTTTTGCTTAGAATAATATTGTCATCTTTTGAAGAGACGATTAAGCGGGATTTTCTAAATCCCACTAAACATGTTGTCTCTTGAAGAGACGACCAAACCTTATTTTTTTAAAAGAAATTAACGTGGCACTTACACCATGTTAGCTGGGCGTCTCTGAAAGACTACCTGCTATTTCCAAAACATTATTTTTGAAAATAGTTTGGGAAGTGACATATTTTCGTAATTACTTCCGAAAATAGCATCACTAAAAAAAATCCGAAGAGATGAAGGTTAAGTAAATTAAAAAAAAAAACAAGTGGGTCCTAGAAAATAAATGGATAGATTGTACTATCAAATAAAATAAATGGAAAATAATCGAAACTATCATTTAAAATAGATTTATTTAAAGATAATAGGTATTTAGAAACAAACAATATATAAAAGTACAAAATCCTGACATTTTTAACCGTTGGGCTCTACATGTCATATATCCCAACATTTTTAACTAAACTCCCACACAAAGACTGGGGAGTTAGAGATTTTTTAAATAA